ATATCTTACTGGTGGATAGATCCATTTATTATTATAAAGTGATTATCCTTATCTCTAGTACCATATTTTTGTTTTAAAGTCAATTTTGTCTGGTATTCGTATACTCATTCTGGCTCTCTTATGGTTGCTGTTTTCATGATACAACTTCCATTGAAATGAGCTGGAGTGTGAGGTGATGGAGTGGGTCATGGCTCAAGTGCCACTGAGTCTTGGTATTCTTATCAAGACTGATTAGATTTTCTTGAGTGAATGTTTTTCCATTTGTTATATGCCACTAGACAATTTACAGAGACCTTAAATCATTTAAAAAATAAACTTCACCAGTTATGGTTCTGTTGGGGAGCTGACCCATAGAGATATTCATACTACTATTGTTAGGAGTTCTTTTCAAACTTGATTTTAATCTCATCTCCTTCTTACCATCCCAATCACACCTTTCCTTTCAGATTCAACTGGAATTTAAAAGACCTGAAGTGAGGAAAAATATGGAATCTGCTTTTTCATGCCTCTTCCCATTTCTTTTTCTAGGCCTGGGAGAAAGGATTAAGGAAGTGGATGAATGTATATTTATCTTTTTTTTTTTTAAAAGATTTTATTTATTTATTTGACAGAGAGAGAGATCACAAGTAGGCAGAGAGGCAGTCAGAGAGAGAGGAGGAAGCAGGCTCCCTGCTGAGCAGAGAGCCCAATGCGGGCCTCGATCCCAGGACCCTGGGACCATGACCTGAGCTGAAGGCAGAGGCTTTAACCCACTGAGCCACCCAGGCGCCCTATATTTATCTTTTTAAAATAACTATGTGGTTATCTTATTATCTTTTAATAAGTTCTTTCAATTTCCCTAACTGAAGGAAATGGTCATTTTGTGTCCTCCATGTATGAGTATCCAATCCTTGCTTTTTCACTGGGTGTGTATGTGTGTGTGAATTTTGTGGAGGGGTCCACAGATCCTCCCTCCTGCATGCTCATCTGAAATAGTAGGCTAATATCTCATGGGTTAGTGCTCTTTCGTCTGTACTCCAGAAGGTTTCCAAATTGGTCTCAGGAGACCACACACTCTATGCAGCAGAGGGATGGGGATCTTTCTAGGACTGAGTGGAATACAAATGCCCTGTTTCCAAGGATCCACCTTACTTGAGTTCTCCCTTTTGATGGGGCCTCATTATTGGCTTTTTGATAGGGGTCCCAAAGTTTTAAGGAGAACTTGGTTTTAATTTAGTACTAGAATCTAGAAGATTTTAATGGTGCAGAATTAAATCAAGTCTAATTCTTAAAATCAGTAACAAAGAAAAGATAGGTATGGTATAATATAAATGATGACTTTAGTATCAATTTAACAAAGATGAAAACTATATTCCCATTATTGAAATGTTACTTAACCATTCAAGTATAACTCTCAAATTCGCTATAATATATAAACTATCTTATCTTCCCTTACTTGGGGGAGGGTCAGCCTTTTTGTTCTATTCAAGCTTTCAACTGATTGGATGAGGACTGCTCACATTAGGGAGGGCAATCTACTTCACTCCATCTACTGATTTAAATGTTACTCTCATCCAAAAACACCCCCACAACGACACCCAGCATAATATTTAATCAAATAGCTAGGTGCTTTGTGGACCAGTCAAGTTAATACATGAAATTAACCATCACACTCCCTCCTTCCCTTCTTCCCGCATCTTCTGGGCTGTAGTTACCCAGAGCTGAGCTTCTGTTGCACTGAGCTGGGTGTAGAGTGAATGAGCAGGTTGTAGCTCAAATGCTATGGATTCTTGCTGCTTTTACCAGAATTTATTAAATTTCTTTCCTTCTTTCTTTCTTTCTTTCTTTCTTTCTTTCTTTCTTTCTTTCTTTCTTTTAAAGATTTATTTATTTATTTGAGAGAGAGAGCCAGGGGAGGGGAAGAAGCAGAGGGAGAGAGAGAACCCCAAGCAGACTCTCCACTGAGAATGGAGCCCAACATCGGGCTCAATGGGGCTTGATCTCAAAACCCCGAGATCCTGACCTGAGCTGAAATCAAGATCTGGACACTTAACCAACTGAGCCACCAGATGCCCCCCAAAATTAAATTTTTCTTGAATAAATGTTTCCCAATTTACTATAAGCCATTAGGAAAACTTTAATTCATTGGGTAAAATGGAACTCATTCTCCCCATTCCTTCTTTCATTTCCTCCCTTCTTGCCGGAATTCCTTCTTTTCCCCACTCACTTCTTTCTTCTTACCGTCCTTTTCTTTTTTTCTTCCAACACACGTTTATTAGAGCCTCTAGTCCTACCTATCATAGTCATATTAAGAAGAAAGTAATTTATACAATGATCCTTGTTTATCAAACTCTTTGGGAAAATAACTTGCAAAGATTGGAGATCTAAGAACTCTGAATGTGGGAACTGAATACCAGCTCTTCTATTCCCAGGGGGAAGTGTGGCTTGGGAAAGAGGTTAACAATGGGAAGGGCCAGACAAGGTTTGTCTGTTTATAATGGAAGGTTCACCTCAAAAGTCATCTGTATTCTGTGACTTAGAGGAAAATACTTCACCAGAAATTATGCATTTATTGGTTTCAGTGTTCTGGATTTGGTCTTGATTTCAAGACTTTAATTATTTTTAATTAATATACATGACTTACACTGTTGTCTTTTCTTTTTAATGAATTTAAATATTGGCCTAAACCAGTAATAAAAAATGTAGTGATATAGTTATTGTCCTCTGCAAAAAGTGAGTTTTTGTTTTTGATATAACCTTATTGAGTATTTTTATGCTTAGATGTAAATGAAATTTAATTTTAGCGATATTTACATTATATATCTTAAAGTAGTGTTTTGTTTAGATTTTCCCTAAATTATTTGTGCTGCTACATCAGAAAATTGAATAATGATTTCATAATTTTCTTTATTAAAAATAGCTGAAGCAGTTGTTTTGAAGCTAGTGGTACATGAACCATCTCTAATTCAACATGTTAATCATGGATGCTTGGGGGCAATATTTTGGAATCAAAGTATTAAGAATAATTATTATCTCCTCAAACAATACGCATTTATTTTGTGTGTGTGCATGTGTATTTTTGTTCAACTTAAAAATGGAGATTAAATGTCGCTTATGTCCAAGGACCTGTACCAGAGACACAAAGTCCTCCATCAATTTTCAGACTACTTGGAGAGTGGGGGACATAAAACTGAGATGGTAGGATATCTAAGAAAGTTCCTTCTGAGGTTGGAGAAGAGAGTAGCAATTTGTTTCAGGGTCCAGAAAATGCGCAGGGGAAGTGATTTTGAACTTTGTAACATATACACTTTAAGTTGAAATTAGTTGCTTCTGCTTCCATATTCTTTGTTTCTTCGTTATTGTATTTTTTTCATTCAATTTTGGCGTACTTCATTACTTGTATCTATTTATCTGACTAGTTTTAAAGCTTCTTGAGGACAGGGACCATGTCATAATCATATTTGCTCCAAATACTTGCTATTCCTTTGTATCCTTTCATTGAATTGCCATGGTAGTGGCTAAGCAAATGTTTTTCTAATTAAATTTGGCATTATTATGAAGAGAAAATTATGCAGAAGCTCAGAGCTCTAGTCTATATTAGTCAAAATACCTTTGATAAGAGGGTTTAAGATTAGCAGATAAATACTATGGAAGTGACTTATACTTTCCTCTGAAAAGCAGTCAGGGCCCAAATAGACATAAGTTCAGAAGCTGTAAAAATATTTTTGAGAATAAAGGAGGATATGGCAGGACATACTTGTTTATAGACACATAGGAGAGAAAAGGTAAGTGGTGCTTGTTAAAATTATATAATGACTGGAGGTCTTAATTTGTACCTATGAGTATAGATGTATTTTAGCTTTTGCTGAGGATTAACTGTAGTGCTTACCAACTATGCAAGACTGTTGTATAAGATATGAAGAGGTAAAGAAGACTTGGTTTCTGCCCTCAAGCAGCTTTTCAAAATGTAGTTGCAACAGAAACATTATCAGCATTGTTTCTCTTGCTTCTGCTTTCCCTATTTTTTATAAGTAGGGCTGTTGATTCTTCCCACCCAGCACCAGCTATTTCCTGATTCTAAAGCTAACCTTTTTTTTTTTTTTTTAAGATTCTATTTATTTATTTGACAGAGAGAGACACAGCAAGAGAGGGAACACAGCAGGGGAAGTGGTGGGAGAGGGAGAAGCAGGCTTCCTGCCGAGCAGGGAGGAAGCCTGTAGCTCCCTGCTCGGCGGGAAGCCTGATGCAAGGGCTCAGTCCCAGGACCCTGGGATCATGACCCGAACCAAAGGCTGATGCCCAATGACTGAGCCCCCAGGTACCCCCTAAAGCTAATCTTGAGTGAGAAAGACATATAGCCTAATTTTCACTATTTAGGAGGACTTGAAAATGAGTCTCACCCTAGACCTGGGATCCAGGACTCAGTCCAGCCATGGGCGCGGGCTCCATTTCTTCCTTGAATCTTGTCCTTAACAGTTAGACTCAGGCTAACGACTATTTTGTTGTCACATGGTTAGATTATATATTATTTGCTACTCTCTCTTTTACCTGGTCTGGTAACTTTGTTCCCTCAAGCTTCTGCCTTAGCCACAAGAGTGTCAGCAATATATCTCTCTGCCTATTTCCACTGACTGGCCCCAAATACCAGCCTGTTTGGGTCCTTCGAGTCTCTTTCTGTGAGGGCTGGGCACCATCCTGGTATAATAGACTGCAGGCCCCAACTCTGTGGGAAATGGGAAAATCTCCCAGGACTGCCATTACTGATTACTGTCCTTTTCATTTCCCGAGACTCTCTGCTCTCCCTCTTTTGGAATTGGCCATTTCTGCGTACTCTATCTGTAAGACCTGACTACCCAGGAGTAATGGTTTCCTGAATTGTCCCATGTTTGCTGTACCCCTGGATTCTAAGCCTTAGACTATCCAGCTCCCTTTCCCTGGGCCAGTCTTTATTGCTGGACCAGGTTCTGTGCTATTCCCACCTCCATTGTTACTTTACCTGGTTTCTCTCCTCTTCCTTCCAGTTCCACGTTTCTGAGAATCCTTCATACTTCAAGTTCAAGTCTGGGTAGGTATTGCTAAATTGATCTTCTTGTATTAAATGATGCTTCTAATTTAGGTAGAATAATTTTTCTTAGCAGATATGGATGGATACAGTTGTATACACACACACACGTATATATATTTCTTAGCAGATATGGAGATAACAAATAAATGAATGAATATATATATACACACATATGCAAATGCACACATTCATCCGTAATTCATCCTTTTAAATATTAACTTTGTGTCCAAGTGTTGATATTTCTTTTCATCCATCTATTCCTCCAACAGATATTTAGCAAGAAACTTCTGAATTTAAGCCATCTGTCTCAAATGATTATTGGTAAATTCAACCCATAGAGACACTCTGAAGATAAAACTCTACTCGCTTTAGAATTTCTAAGATGACCACATGAATTCCTTAACTTTTGTGCCATATAATTATGAGTGATAAATTCTATACCATGAATTTAACTTTAAGGCTAAGTATATTTTAATTTCAAGTAATAAAAATAGGATCTCAACTCTATTGTATGGGGTTTTAAAGCTATTATATATAAGATACTTTCCATATTTTATGAGGTAGGTTTTATCATTATCCACAATTTAAGATGTGAAATAAAAAAATGGAAGCTCAGAGAAAATTAAGTAACTTGCCCAAAGTCAATTGTCAGAAAGCAGTAGAAAGAGATGGTATACTTAGGTATTTCTAGGTCTATGTCCAGGTTCTTACTGTATCACCTCTTTAATATTTAATACAGAATAAAAACAACAGTTGAATTTTTACAGTCTGATCCTATTAGAATATCTTATTATATTTTCTTTAAAATGGTTGCTTTTTTATTCTTCCTGATAAGCCTCATTACACAGAAACATTATACGGTCATATCCAACTCCCACCAAGCCCCGAGCATTTGTCTAGCATTTAAATGGTTAGGATACAGCTAAAGAAAGGGGTTTGATCAGTAAGGGGAAAATGCATGGCTTCCCTTCTGCTCAGGAACTTCACTTATGGTCCAGTATCTTAGCCCTTCATTTAAATTTTAAAGCTTTGAAGTTCTACCAAATTCTAACCGAGTTTCTCAGCCCATGGCAGAAAGAGAGGATATGAAGGCAAAAAACTGCCAGAAATAATAGCTGCTGTGTTTTGATGAGAGAAGGGGTGGGAAAACTACAAAAGTGGGCAAAGGGACTAAATAAACTAGGAAATTTAAAGACCCTTTATTGTGAGACACTAGACACACCCGCCTTAAAAAGGCATTGTATGATAATTGCCTATTTACAACCACTTTGAAGGTTGCTGGGATGTAGGGACACACATAATAATTTTGGGAACCACGCAAAAGATTAAAATATATTACAATTCTTTCTCTTGGAAGGCAAGAAAGTTTGTACAACATATGAAAGCGCTAAAATCCAAAATAGTTTTAGGACTTTAAGGAATAAACTTCCATTTTCTGAAAAATTGCACCCCTTTGGAATATGTATACCACAGCTACTCCTTTTTTTTTTTTAATTAATTTTTTTTTTGAGTGTTCCAAAATTCATTGCTTAGGCACCACACCCAGTGCTCCTTGCAATACCTGCTACTTCTTGGCCTCTCTGTGACCTTAGGAAAGTCATTCAATTCCTCAGAGACTGTTCCTTCCTCTATAAAATGAGGCTAATAATAATAACAATGGGTTAGTTGTGAGGATTAAATTAGATCAAGGGCAAACACAGCTCCCAACGTATGGTAAGTCCCTAAAAAAGACTTTGCAATTTTTTGTAGGTTCTCTCCATTTGCATTTTGCATTTACTTGGATCCATGGATTTAGGTTTTTGCATTTTAGAGCTTAAGAAAATTCATCTGCAGAGTTGTGTTTATTAGAGTTTGCTTGCAGTATCTTGAGATCCATCTTTGCCTGAGTTTCTCATTACTTTTAACAATTACAGGAGACTCAATTATATTTCTCATCTTTTTTTTCTTTTTGTTGCCCAATCACTCCATAGGAACCACATGGCAGCCACGATCTAGTTTAAAGTACAGTAGATCAGCCTCTGGAGACCCAGATTTCATTCTGTCTCTGCCTATAACTCACTGTGTGAACTCAGGTAAGCAACTTAACTTCTCTGGGCTTTCTGAGTCTGAATTTCTCACTGATATTCCTATTGCCTTCTCTTACAGCATTTTCTATCAGTCTTTGGAAATATTTAAATGCTTTCTTTGAATAAATTTAAATATATGCATAGTACAGTGTTTAAGTACACAGACTCTGGGGTCAGTCTGACTAGCTCCCACACATACTAGCACTGGGAAGGTAGGCAAATTATCTAACTTGCCTGTACCTAGCTCTACTTATTTGAGAAATGGGGATAAAAGGATCTACTTTGTACAGTTATTAGGAGGATTAAAAAATGGCTAACACACCTGTAGCATTTGAAATCATGCCTAGCACAGGGTATAAGCCCCATAAGGGATATGGAGATGAATACATCTTTAAAGAGCCTGCAGTTTACTGGAGGAGATTAAGACATATACCAAATAACAAGGAAGAGTATAATACATATTCCACAGAGAAGAAATTTTAGAACCTGATGGAACACAGAGGAAGGAATGATTAATTCCTACTGAAAGGACCAAGGATGGTCTCATGAATTAGGTCAATATCATCCAGGGCAGGAGGAGTGAGCTGGCTATCAAGGGAAGGGTTTCTTGATAGAAGAAGTAAAAAGAGTAAGGGTGAAAAAAACTCAGAAAGTACCCGATGTGCAGCTCTTTTTAGCTGCAGTGTTGATGTTGAGTGAGGGTGTGTACTGAGAGATGAAACTATGAAAGTGACCTGGGATGAGATCAGTGAGGAGTTTGGTGCTTTGCTAAGGAGTAGGCGGTTGATGCTACCAGTATTAAGAAGCACTGAAGGTCATTGAAGCTGATATCATGCCACTAGTGAGCTAGGAAAAAGTCTCAGGTAGTTCCGTCAAGAAGAAGGTAGTGGAAAGAGAAACTAGAGTCAGATAGAACATTTAAGGGCCATTGGAATAAGAGATTGTAAGGGTCTAAATTGGGGAAGTGGTTGTTGGGGTAAAGAGAAGGGCTAGAATTGAGAGCTGGGAAGGTAGGTGCTATCTTATAAACTCTCCTACCTGCCCATCATTTCTTTTTACTCTCCACTCTAGTTCTTTCTGTCTATCCTCCCAGCTCCTCTGGCATTCTCTCTATGGTGATCTACCTGTGCTCAGTGGCCCACATGTATCTAATCACAGAAGGGCTCAAATGGCAAGCCCTCAGTGAACTAAGAAACCAGGAGCTTGTATTCCCACATGTTTAAGGGAGACGATGTTTGAGAAGCTGAAAATAATCACACAACAAATAGCTTTTGTTTATTTGGGGAGAGGCTTCCAAGCAATAATTAATCTAAAAGGCTTCCTTTACTTATAGGAACCCAACTACTGAAAGGTGCATTTAAACCTCTTCATTATATATCTGCCATGGATAGTGCATAGCAGGAGTTTTGTGTGTGCGGCGGGGGTAGATTTTATAATATAGCATTTGTGGTGTGGAGAACACTCTCATCATTGTCTGGGTTTGTGTCATAGCAAATAGGAAAGGGACCATTTAGATTGAAAGAAATAACTATTATAGACAGCACCTATGTGTTGCAGGGTAGATGTTCTCTCTACTTGAAAGAATGCCTTGTAAGCAATTGAAGGTCATGGGGATTCTTTTTAATTAGTTATACCTGGTTGGACAAAAGAAGGTGAAATTCAGGAATCTGTGCAAAATACAAATCAGAAACCAATCAGTGAATACTGTGACAGAATAACAAAAGGAGATCAGAACCAGGTAGAAACAAAGTTAACAATTTTAGAGTGACAATGATGCCCTGGTGAAAAGAGACTGTTAATGAATCCCAGAACCACAGTGTCGCAATTATTCTCCACTGACATATGTGAGTATGCACATGTATATCTACGTATCTATGTATCTATCTATGTATCTATCTAATCTATCTATATATGCATAGGTGTATATACATCATATAACACATAATATATATAAGTAAAAGATAATTCATTCAACAAGTGTTTGCTGAACACTTACTGTGTGCCAGACACTCTCCTAGGTACTACAGATAAAACAGCCGACAAAAACAGACCATATCCTAAAGAGCTTATATTTAGTAGGAGAGAGACAAGAAATACACATGAAGTCAGGTGATGATAGGTACTAAGAATAAAAAAGAGAACACATTAAGTGGAGAATGAGAGGTAGAGGGAAGGCTGTGTTTTGTTTATTATGTTAGGACAGCCTCCTTAGTAAGGCAAATATTTGAGGGGAGGCTTGCAGAGACCTGGGAAAGAAAAGTAGTCCAGTCAGAGGGGGGAAGTGATGAGCTCTGAGGAGATGTCTTGGTGTTATTGAGGAACAACAATGAGGCAGGGTAGTGGGAGGAGAGGGAGGGAGAAAGGAATGGTAGATGCGGTCAGAGGAGTAGCTAGGTCTTTCATGACCTCGTAGAGCATAGTAAAGACTTTGGATTTTACTCTGAGTGAGATGGAAGACTTCTAGAAGCTTATTATAATGCTAATCACATAGGGTTAATTTTACTACTTCCATCTAGTACTTTATGATCCCATATTTGCGTCTATACATTTCTAAAATTAGGCAGGTCGCCATCTAGCCCTCTTTTGTCCTGCTGGCTTCTTTCTCATCCATAGTGCTTCAGGAAAGGCAGCTCTGGATTCTGTTCCGGTGCCTGCCACTGAATCCTTGGATAGTTTCAGTAAGTTACCCTTCTTATTCAGTTCTCCTATCAAAAAAAAAAAAAAAAATCAGAATACTTTCACCAAACTCATGTTATTAAAGATTTAACAAGAAAAAAAGAAATAAAAAATGTCACAACTCATATTCCTCATCTTTACACAATTGCCAAAGGGCTTAGTATGCAGTAGGCACACAATAAAGGCTTGCAGCATTGAATTAGAAAGTTAAATGAGGGGATTTGTAAAATGTTCTCTTAGTTTCTTTAGTGCTATTTTACTCATTGAGCTCAAAGGTACTCTTTCTGGGGGTGTATGACTCTCATTATCCAGAAAGTTGAGTTATTTTTGTTTTCATAATGCTTCTCTAAGACTATTAAAGAGCTTATTTTACTTCTTAAATTAGAGAGTGAAAATGGTTCATTTTACTTAGATTTGTACTTTGCATGATGCTACAGATAACATATATTTAATTATCCATTCTACAAAATTTTGCTAACAATTTTAGAACAATTTTAAAGCTTTGCAGGATGTTCTGTATGATATTTGTGTGTGTGTGTGTGTACTTTGAGTCTAGCTTTTGTAGTAGATGTGTGCAAAAATGGTCAGAAATTCTTTTTCTTCCTATATGCATGTCCCTTTGATACATCTTTGCAATTCCCATTAAGAGCTGGTATCTATTTCTTTGTATCTTGAATCTGAACTTGGCTATGTGACTTGCTTTGCCAACAAAGCATTAGCACATGTGATACAAGTAAAGCCTGGAAAGTTCTATGCGTAAGACCCTCCCTTGCTGCTTCTGGGAACCCTGTGGCCACTGGGATGTCAAGAAACTAAGGCTTACCTGCTGGATGATGAGTCACATATGGCCAGTTGCCTCCTTTGCCTCTGCCAACAGCCAGCCACTACAAGACATGCCAGTGATGCTCTTGTCAGCTCACTGACACATGACTGAGCCTGACCAACAACAGACAGATCAGAAGTAAATCATCCCAGCTGAGCCAAATCCAAATTGCTAACCCACTGAATTGTAAGCAAATAAATGTTTCAAGTGCTAAGTTTGGGGCAGAAAAATCTAACAGAGATCATGTCCCTATTAATTGTTTATATTTTTGTGAAATGTATTTTCTCTTTGTTTCCTTTTCCTCCAAAACTCACTGTGGTAGAGACAACTGGTCCCCCAACATCCATTTTCTCTTGTTTTATTAGTAGACCTTTCCCCTTCCCCCACCTACCCACATTTGAGTTTTATCTGGGCTTACGGCTGTCCAGTTTGAGACTAATTAACCTGCCTTTTCTTGCAGCTAAGGTGTGGTCATGTGGCAAAATTATGGGCAATGTGACACAAATGGAAGAACATGTGCTAAGAAAGCTGCTTGCTGTCCGCTGCTCTCCCACCCTCTCATTTTTCCTTCCGGACTGGGATGTGGGGTAGCCTCAGACCAAGAGATGGAAGCCACAGGTTAAAGAGGGCAGATGTAACCCACTAGTTTTAGTCCTAGGATGACTTTGCAGATCATGCCTTCTTACCTGTCCTGGACCACTGCCTACCACTGGTCTGTTATGGGGAGAGAAAAAGAAACTATCTTCTTAAGTATGCCACTATATTTTTAGGTCTCTTCGTTATAGCAACTTGACTTTTACCCTAACTCATATATAACAAATACTCACCAGACACAAACACATAAACATACGCTGCCTACTATTTAGAACTCAGGAGCTCAGTTAGTGTTAGATTCATACACTTATTCAATAACAGTTACTGATTTCCTATTGTGTGTTAGGCACAGAGTTGCATAAATAATGGCCTTTTGGGGGAGAGGCAGGAGCTGATGAATAAGCAGGGATAGAAAAAAATAACAAAAAAAAGGAATTAAAGGTGAAGAGTACTGTAACAGGGGACTCTGTCAGGGGTGGTATCCAGAGAAAATGAAAGGATTTGGACGTCTTTTAAAAGTTTGCTGTGGTAGGATGAAACACACATCATGAAATGAGGCAACCATTCAATGCACCTGTACAATTACTTTCACAGACTTTGGAGGCCTCCTCTCACTTTTTTCTGGGTCACTGACCTTGAGCTGGGGTGGGAGTAGGGGGTGGCCACTGGCTTACTGTTTTCTCACTTCAGACTTCCAACACTGTCTTTTCAAAGGGTTTTGTGTGTTGGGTATAGGGGTGGCAGTAGGGACGGAGGTTAGGTTTAGAGGATTACTGACAATCCTGTAATAACTTTCGAAATAGCTTTTCAGATCAATTCCCATTCATTTCCCACTTTACAGAGAAAAGAGGACCAGGGAAGGATCAACAGTTATGAGAAAAACGAAGAGGAAAAAACTCCACTCACCACACCTGGAAATGGAAGATATCTCTTTGTTCCTGTGTCCCATTCCCCACCCTCACCACCATATCCTGTGGCTTATTTGTGTTTTCCTTCTATCATCCACAATGGCTTTTTAATTTTATATTGAGAGTACCCTAGGAAGAAGGCACTAAGTGAGAAATCACTGCAGAAGTTCAAGAAGAGAACATATATAATGTCTTGGATGTGAACTAAGAGATGCTAAGCCTGAAAAAGAATCTTGTCAAATTAGGTAGTCATGTCTACTTCATCTCATTGCACTAAATCTCCTGTCATGCTCATTTGCAATAGTGATATTTTTTCTCTTAAGTCATAATGGCCTTACTTTTGTTATGAATGCCTTGTCCATATGTGCCCTATGGTTTCAGAATACCTTTCATTTTCAAGTCGTAGGGGGTATGCCTTTATGCAAATCATTTATGCTCTATAAGCCTCAGTATTCTCCTTTGTAAAATGACTGGATAATCTATGAAATCTCCTTTGAATCCCAAATTCAACAATTTGAGTTCCCTTATAAACATATTGATTAAAGTCTGGTGACAACTGTAGCTATAATGACAACAGAATGACGAAGCGTATTAACATTAGCGTTAATGCAATAATCAGTTGTGTTTTATTCCATATGGCAATTTATTTCAACAATTAAGCCCTACTCCATCTGTTTTGGCATACACGTTTTTTTTTTTTTTTTTTTTTTTTTTTTTTTTTTTTTTTTTCAAATGGGTTCCTGAACTACATCTTTGGAAATAATTTTATGTTTTTGAAATATTGCTACCATCAATATATGATGACTGTGTGGAATCTTTCTGATTAAAAAAACAATCATGGATGCCAAATCCCATCTCATTTGACAGAGGGATTGTTTTGCTGTTTGACCTTATGGATACTTTTCATGGTCTAATCAATAGTCCCAGAAAAGGAAGGCAAATCTCAGGGTCGACATAGAGGGAATGCATGTGGGGTGCTAGTTTCTAGAAGAGGCAAAATAAGCCTCAGTGCTGTCAGCAGTAACTTTCTATTTTTTTTTGACCTGAGGATCCTGTTGGGACAGGACGTACCTCAATCTGTGATGGAGACAAGAAATATGGTACATCCCATACATCTGGCAGGGGTCCCTTTCTTTGACTTGAGTTGAGCTGCATTGACAGAACAGCAATAGGGAACATTTGTCTTTATCTTTACGACGCTTGACAAGAGGCATGATTACTGCTGTAAGGGTATCAAAATAAAGAAAAAATGGGCTGTCCTACAGCCCTGCTATTTATCACATTCAGAAACGCTAACCCAAACTAGCAGGAGAGAAATTCCGTGTCAAATTGCCTCTAAAAATCATTATTTTCCTCCCTGAGATAATATGTGAAACCCATGGATCCACCCATGCTGTTCCCTCCCCCCCACACCCACTCCTCCCACCTTCCCCAGGTTTGCAGCTGGGGACAGTCTTCCCCTGATCCAGGCTATCCTCCATAGACTGGGAGTTGTCTCCATGTGGCTCATTGCATGTGCCAGTCTGACAGTAAACACACCATTTCCTGCATGTACAGGAAATACAGAAAAATGTTAGCTGGTGGCTTATTAACAAATATTGAATGTATACAGCAAAAATTCGATTTATTTTGCAGCAAGTGTTAGGATGTCTCCGAGCAAATTAGTGCTGGAGCTGACTCTGTTCAACCCCCTTATTTATTTTCCCGTTCCTTGTTTTCTAATTAGGCAAGCTTTCTTCTGCTTTGCAAACACCCTCTCTGCCTAAATCATTGCAGATCTATTGCATCCTCAATACAGCAGGCTTACACATTCATATTAACACCGTGATAGGGAGGTATAATCCATCCTTTTGCATCCAGGCTCTAAATTGTTTCAAGAGTGATACTAAATGCCTTTATGACACAGTATACATTTTCCTGCTCTGACTTATAGATGGCCTGCTAAAGCCAATGACTTTTTCCAAAGCAATTGTGAGGAGTAGATGGGTCTAAATAGTGTTTGCATTGAAAGGCAACCTCCTTCAGTGTATGGCATCAAGTAGTTTCTTTTCCCCCCCTCAAAGTATTCTCTTTCACCAAGTCTTTGCAAAAGAGGGTATTTGTTCACAGTTCCTCATGGAGAGTAATTCAAGAATTAAATCAATGGCCATGTACGAAACCTTGTTTGAAATTCCATAGTTTATTTGGATTTGCATTCTTTTGTAGGGCTTAGAGCAGTGGTTCTCAACCTTAGCTGTCCATTAGAATCATATGTGAAGCTTTAAAAAATATTGATACCCAGGCTCCTTCCCACACCAATTAAATCAGAATACCACGGTGGAGCAATGGCAGTGGCTTTTCTAAAGTTCTCCAGATGATTTTAGTGGGCAGCAGACCATTGGTTTTTAGGGTTATTATGATAAGAATATATTCAAAGAACATTTTATTCAATAAATATTTGAATAACTACTATCTATTAGGGAAAAGACTATTTACCCTAGGAGATTCAATGATATATAAAGAAATTTCTATGTTCTCAAAGTAGCTGGTAAGTTAATAGAGGCCATGAAGTAAGTTTTCATTCATTTCACACATATTTATTGAGTCTTATGTGTTATAAGCATTGGGGAGTGAGTATGGAATAAGAAAGACAAAGCCTCTGCTGTCATTGAGCTTACATTCTAGCAAAAAAAAAAAATATTTTTTTTAAATAGGTACTGATTAATCATATAAAGAAATGAATACAAAGATGACATGGTCGAGAGTGGCTGAAACAGAAGAAGAGTTTTGGGATGCTTCTCTGAGTGGCAGATCTGAATGATGTGAAGGAAACAGTCAAGTGAAGGTCTGGAGGGAGCGAGTTTTGGAGAGAAAGAACACCAGTATGTCAAGGTATTGAGGTGGGAGTGAGCAGATGCCAGAAGCAGAAAGAAGTCGAAGTCCTTAGAGGAGGGATATGGTCAGAGATGAAGTCAGCAAGGTGGACAGAGAGTAAACACTCTGCATAAAAGCTAACCTTAACGGAGAGAGGAAAGCAGGCAAGCTTTGGAGATGCAAGTGAATGTTTCAGAGCATCTGGAGAGAAATGACATTGCTTTGGTATGGGCATTCAGTGTTCATAGGAAAAGTGGTTTTGAATTGTATTTTGAGGGAGAATAGCTGAGAACTGGAGGGGAAGGGCATTTTAAGTAGTAGCATTTCTCTGCAAAAACAGAAGTCACAGCAATCTAGGCCATGAACGGACAGCAGCACATTGTTCCACTTGACTGGAATGAGGGATACAGGAAGCAGTGTGGGAACTCAGAGGTTGGGATAATAAAGGACCATGTATGTAGAGAGCTTGGGCTTCATCCTAAAGACAAAGAAAAACCCAAATATATTTTCTGTTTACTTCTTCTGCCTTATGTCTGGCCAATTCCTGCTTCACTCCCTGTATCTTAGCAACCCCAAACTACTCCTTTCTACCCTACCTCCCATACAGACATACCTATAGGACCATGCTGGTCCTAGCCTTTATGTTTTACAATTGTTTTTCCATCTGTTTGAAATATCTTTCCCATACTCTTGGACTCTTCTCTGTCAATGAGTTAAATTCCTAATTAGGAGTTAGCCACAGTTCCTTCCGGAAGGTGTTTCTGACTCTCATTGGTGACTCCACAGAATGAGAGGCATACTTCTTCAAGGGCACTTAGCATGGTGAGTGGATCGAAAGATGAGTGCTAGGTTAGGTACAATGCTCTATGCTTGCATTATGGTTTAATTGACAGGTAGGCAATGAATACTGAACATGACAAACAAATTGGTATGTTTTAAGGTGGTAAGAGTGGTAAGGAACAAGTAGTTCAGGATATGGAAGATTGAGAATAGTGCAGAGGGTAGTTACATTTATAGTAGAAAGTCAGAGTGGGCTTAATTGAGAAAGCAAAATTTCAGCAGACTTTGACCAACTGTTCCAATTTGCCTGAGATTGAGGACTTTCCTGGGATATGGACTAGTAAGATTTTTAATGAACCTCTGTCTCTTAATCTATGAAACTGAAGTAGCTGGCACAGAAAAAGCACTCAATAAGTGTTGCTGTTATTATTATTCATAATGCCTAGCACAGCCCCTGGGGGAATAGCAGCTCCTGGGTAGATGTTTGCTGAAAGAACAAATGAATTAATGATAATGTACTATGTGCCAGGCACTAGGCTAAGCCCTAGATACATGAAGATGAATAAGACATGATTTCTGCCTTCAAAAAAATCATAGTCTAGCAGGGGAGACCTACGTGAAACACCATATTTGATTTTAAGAACTGCTGTCTTGTTCCACCATGACAATCCTCATTCTGCTTTCCTACTGTACTTTTCTTTTACATGGAGCATATTACTTTTTAATATTCTGCATATAGAATATTCTTGTATGTCACAGTTATTCTCATTGGAATGCAACTGCTTAAAAGCAGGGACCTTGGTTTTTTTTTTCACTGAGATATCCCAAGTGCCTGAAACTACCAGCACCAAGATGATGCTCAATAATGTTTGGTGTTTGAATGAATTGAAAGTTCCATTTGATGTGATAAGAGCTTTTAGAGGGGATGTGCAAAGTGTGGGTGACTACTTTTAGAGTCAGGAAAGGTTCCTTAGACAATGTGGCATTTTAGGTTGATCTTCTAGGATATGTAGTGTTTCTTTAGAAGATTGGAAGGCATTTCAGGCTCAGAGCCCATCAAGAGGAACTGACAGGAGCAGGAGGGTCAGGAGAATGCAGGGCCAATGAAGGTGGAGAGAGGGATTGAGGGGTTAAGGAGAACCTGAGGGATGGGTGAAGTTTAAGAGATGTTTCAATGTGTTGGTGCTGTTGGAAAATGGATCAAAGGATGAAGCAGTGTGTGGAGTGACACCATGGGGACCAGTGTGTAGTTACCTAAGTATCTGGTTGGAGATGAGTTGGTAATTTGATAGAGGATGGTTTTAATCTTTAAAGAAATAAGATCATTTGAGCATTAGAAGGCTAAGGGGAAATAGCCAACAGAGGAGGCAAGAATAATTATGGAAGAGGGCCCAACTGATGTAATAAGGTTCTGAAAGAAACAGGAAGAGATGACATTGAGAGGACAGAGAGAAAGAGGGAGGGTTTCCTCTGAAAAGAAAAGAAAAACTTAGTTTCAGAGACTAGCGTTAAGCTTCTCACCACATGTGTGGAATCCAATACTGATTCATTAAGTAAGTTATAGGAGACAAGTACTGTCATAGACACTGAGTCACTATTGGTAGCTCAGTCAAATCCTGTTACCTCACTTTAAGCTGGATAGCA